AAAACCTACAGAATACGATTTTAACATGGAAGTTGAAAAAATAGCCTTACGAATACACCTTCTTTTTTCATGCGCCGTACCAATATAGGATGTAGGCGATCATGGCTCTCCACCTCATCCTGTCCTTTGTCGCTCTCAGTAAGTTTCGTCTTTTTGTTATATCTCCCAGACTCTGGTCTGCCATCCACTTGCCCGTTATGACACGCGTTGCTTTCCCTTGCCCCTCTTTCCTTCTATCAGCCCTGTGAGTAGCAGATTTTCCAATCCTTCCTTTCTCATTACGTGTCCCAGAAACTTCAGCTGCCTCTTCCTGATGTTAGGTATAAGCTTCCTCTTTGTTTGCATCCTCTCCAAAATCTCATCGTTGCTCACAAAATCGCTCCATGGTATACTTAGCATCCTCCTGTAGAACCATAATCTCAGCTGCCTCGAGTCACTTCTTCATCTTTAATGAACATTAACTGCCGTAAAGGAGGACAGATAAAACGTAGCAGCTCAGTACTCTTTTCTTTGTTATCAAAGAAATCCTCCTGTCTCGTAATACTGTGCCTACCTTTTGGAATCCGTCTTTGGCCATCCCAATACATCTTAAGATCTCAGCATCACACTTATCGTCCATCTGCGTATCTTATGTTGTTAAGATTGTGGCCGCAAATGATAATCACGGTAGGATTTCCAGTTCTCTAAGAATTGCCTCGCTGTATAGGTTGAATAAGTCCGGTGAGAAGACACATCCTTGCCTTGCGCTGCTTTCTATTTTTGTGTATCTGCTCAATTTATTCTCTATCCGTATGCAGGCCATTTGCTGCCAGAATAGATTCTTGGTTATTCTAATATCTTTCCCAACTACCGTACCAAAAATGGACTTTTAGTAAACTGCTCAATGCAGCCGAATGGATAAAACAGACATGAAGACCAAGCCAATACAGTAAAAAAAAAAAGAGGTAAAATCCAGAGTTACCCAGCCACTTGAAGAGACTTATCGGTTGAAACCACTGTAGCGTGCGGTAATATACGGTGTTTTAATTATTTTTTTGTGCATATATATATATATATATATATATATATAGTTATAATTATTTTTTAAAAATATGATTCTTTCGCTACATAAGAGTTCTCATGTTTCAAAAACAAGGGCCCAAAAACTTCAGTATAATTATTAAAATTAAATTGAATTAAGGTATCAAGCTCGGTTTCATCCTCAAGCGAAATCTTTGGATTAACTAATCTTGAAGTTTACGTTTATAATTTTCGGTCTACTTTTGTATTGAGCACTGTTTTTTTTTTTAAATAAATACAAAAATACTAAAGAACTTCGGATTGTTTACCTAACGTGTTCTTTCCTATTTTTCTATATATTTGCACACACACACACACACACACACATATATATATATATATAAGTGGCAGGATGCGTGCGTGTGTGTGTGTGTAACGAATGCACGGCCGAAAACTGATCACCCTCGACGGATTTTTTTTTATGACGTGTATGATTTAGCTAGCTAGCTAGCTAGATAATGCTCCCCTTAAAAAAAGTTCGTATGTTCTGTATGAACAAATTTTTTCTCTCTTTTATGCAGTCTGATGTGGATGATTCCTCTCATTCGCCGATTGAGCACTATGACGAAAAGGGAATTTTTAAAGCAGTGGCTGCTCCTGCTTATAACATATCGCTCTTCAGTTAAGGCTAGAGCGCTCTGGCTGCTGATTTAGTGTTCAGAAACATCGAATGTATAATACATTAAAAGATATATTTTCTCTGCCGTGCGAAGATTGCTTAAGAGTAAAGTCTCTGCTAGATACCGAATCGGTCGGGTTTCGATCTCGGTCAGAAGTAATCGGTTATCTACCTACACTGGAAAGATTTAGCACAGAGAAACAGGCTTGAGAGTGGATAATTATTCATGTATATATATATATATATATATATATATATATATAAAGACATTTATGTGTATACGTTCTTTTTATAGATACAAATATTTAAGTTAAATTTTACTTAAATATTTGTATCTATAATAAGAACGTATAAACATAAAGAAACTTTCTTAAAATAATTGTCCATTTTATGTATATATATATATATATATATATATATATATATATATATATATAGGCAGCATATTTTTGCTTCAAGCAGGTTTGATTGAATAATTTCGACGTATTATGTTTATTTAGTTTAGTTTTAAGCCTTTCAAGACCACGAATTCATTTCTTGGTGGCTGTAGATAATTCTAAAATTTTCTTTCAAATAATATTTATATTCCCAAGTACTTTCAATCTCATTTTTTCCATCTTTTGGGGTTGCACAATCTTTTTCAAGAAGACAGAGGACCATTACTGTTTAGGATAAAAATAAAAAACATCATCTCTGTAGAGAACTACTTGATTAAGATCAATAATTTTACTGAGAGTGTCTCATATATAGATAACTACTAAATCAGCGATTTGTGCGGAGTCATATGCGTCCATAGAAACATCGAAGTTATCATTAAGACTTTAAACCGAACTGGAATTCTTATATATTAGTGAATATTGTCTATCGTTAAGATAACTTCAAGTTCAACATCAGGAATAGTAATATAGTTTTTAGCAAAATGTAACTTTTTTAATAATAGATATTTAGAAATGGAGAGGTACATAATGACAAATTGGATAAAAGTAGCCATATTTTTTATATTTTAATACTCTGGAACCAGTTTATAGTATTCGAAGAATTTTTCCCACGATTATTATAAGAGATTTCTGGTATAGTCTGTGTTATACTTTTTATATATATATATATATATATATATATATATATATATATATATATATATATATATTCAGATTTCGTAAACTCACCGAGGATTACGGTGCCTCAACTTTGAGCAAGCAGTGCATTACTGCTGTACTTCCCATAGCAAATCATATCCCATGACAGTTTTAAAATCAGAACTGTCCTTCTTTTAGACTAGTTACCATGAACTGAACTACTATTTAACCCATAGCTGGGGTGAGAAGAGATTGATTCATACTTTCCCCAAGTGTAAATGCGCGAAAGTAAATCTCATGAACTTAACTGAAATTCGAACACGGCTCCCGAGTTTTTTCACACACACAACACACACACACCAATATATATATATATATATATATATATATATTAGGCATATTATCTTGGGACAATAATCACTAATCGCTAGAAAAACTGAATAAAAACTCTCAAAATGCTATTTGTCCATTGTATATAATGAAACGTACATGAAAATATTGCTACCCAAACATCCTGTATATATATATATATATATATATATATGAAGAAATGTAATCTTAAGGTGTGCTATATTTATTTAGAAAAAACTTGGGATAAAGTGCTCAATATCAGAGATAGAGCGTGTGAAAATATAAAAATGATCATTGAAGTCAAGACTTAGAAGCGACAGGTTGTTTCGTGCTAGACGTAATCCTCAGGTCTGATGATTTGCGTCTAGCATGAAACAGCCTGTCGCTTCTAAATGTTGACTTCAATGTTCACTTATATATATATATACATATATATATGTGTATATATATATATATATATATGTGTGTGTGTGTGTGTGTGTGTGTGTATGCTTTGTGTGACACACACACATATATATATATGGTACGATGGGTAAATAGCCGTCATTTTATATTTTTAATTTCGCGCTTGCGCGTTGTTTGTTTTAGATTTCGTCGACTGCACAATATAGTAGGTTTAGCTGGCCACCGTCTGTGAGCAAAAGAGCATCATGTCGCAATTCTCTCTGCCAGAAATCTGGAAACGACATCCTGTACTGCTTGGTATTCACACCGGAAGCTTCAATACGAACATTTCAGTATTTGGGTGTTAATCTGAATACAATGCAGAGGTTTCGGAAGAGTTGGAGGTGTTCAATGGAGATTTGGAAGGTACAGCTGCTCGGAAAACTTCCTCTGATCGTTCTGATAAGAAAAGAAATTCGGAATTTGTTAGTGAGGGACTCAGACTCAACACAGAGACCTACATCACGTACCTTGAGAAGGTAGAGCTGCTCTGTGTCAAGAGGGTGGCTACTGGAAAACCCTGTGTCTGGCAACAGAACGCAGTAACTTGTTACACAAGCAAGAGAACCCCGTCATTGATATCAGAAAATTTCTGCGACCACATCACCCATCACATCTGGCCAGCTGACTGCAACAACTTGATTATTATATGTGGGGCGCAGTTGTGCGAAAGACCAACAAAATTCCTTGTAATGAAGGCAGGATTATGGAAGTATCGACCAACTTAAAAAAGAAGACCATCCAGAAGTGATGCAGGAGATTCCAAAGTCGTCAGGAGGCCGTGTTTGAAGCCAGTGGCGATTTTATTGTATAAATGTACCCTATATATATATATATATATATATATATATATATATATATATATATATATGTGTGTGTGTGTGTGTGTGTGTAAAAATCAATTATTCTTGTGTATAAAACTTACGTATCAGCTGAAATTTTGTATGAAGATTTACTTCATAAATTTCGATCTATGTAATTAATATTAACTATTGAATAAAGTGCATTGACAAAGGCAGAAATCTTGCCGAAAAAATGGTTTCTGATGTGCAAAGTTATACATTTTCAACATTAGGCTATGGACATATTGATGCATCTAAATATATATATATATATATATATATATATGTGTGTGTGTGTGTGTGTGTGTGTGTGTGTTTGCCATCATCTATGTATACACAGTGTGTGGAGGGGATGTGTTGGTTGTTTCTTTGTTTTCAGTGATTCTTTTGATTTCATATTTTGTATTCATTGAAATTTTCCGTTGGCACTCAGGGGAAATCACCGTGTCTCATTTGATAACTCAATCCGACCACCATCTTTTGCGCCTTAGTGACGCCACTTTCAAGTCGATTGAAACAAAGCAAAGAGACGTACACTTCTTCTTGCATAATTAAAACAAAAAAAAGTAAGTAGAATTATAAAGCGAGACACGGATGCACAAAGTTGAATTAGAAAGAAAGAAAGAAAGAAAGAAAGAAAGAAAGAAAGAAAGAAAGAATAGGAGAGAGAGAGGAAGTAAAAATAGAAGGCGGAAAGAATGAAAGAAAGAATAGGAGAGAGAAAGAAAGAAAGAACAGGAGAGAGAAAGAACGAAAGAAAGAAGAAATAAGAGAGAGAAAGAATGAATGAAAGAATAGGAGAAAGAAAGAAAGAAAGAATAGGACAGAGAAAGAAATTAAAAATAGGAGAAGGAAAGAATGAAAGAATAAGAGAGAAAAAGAAAGAAAGATTAGGAGAGAGAAAGAATGAAAGAAAGAAAGATTAGGAGAGAGAAAGAATGAAAGAAAGAATAGAAGAGAGAAATAACGAAAGAAAGAAGGAATAGGAGAGAGAAAGAATGAATGAAAGAAAGAATAGGAAAGAGAAAGGATGAAAGAAAGAAAGAAAGAAAGAAAGAAAGAAAGAAAGAAAGAAAGAAAGAATAGGAGAGAGAAAGAAAGTAAAAATAGGAGAACGTAAGAAAAAAGAAAGAAAACATAGTAAAAATAGGAGAAAGAAAGAAGGAAAAAAGAAAGAAAAATAATAAAAATAGTTGAGAGAAAGAAGGAAAGAAATAAAGGAAAAAGAAAGAAAAATAATAAAAATAGGAGAAAGAAGGAAAAAAATGTAAAAATAGGAGAGAGAAAGAAAGAAGGAAAGAAAAAAAGAATGAAAGATAGGAAAAAGAACGAAAAAAGAAAGAAAATATTAAAGACGGGAGAACGAAAGAAATAAACTTCATAAGAGGAGGAAGAAAGAAAAAGGAGAAAGAAAAAAAAAGAAAGAAAGATAGAACATTAAAATAAGGAGAAAGAAAGAAAGAAAGAAAGAAAGAAAGAAAGAAAGAATATACTGCCGTCGAGTGATAGCAATAAGAAAGTAGAGAAGAAAGAAACAAGGACGGAAAAAAGCCAAGAGGGCAAAGTAGAAAGAAAGAAAGACAGAAAGAAAGAATATTAAAAACAGGATAAAGAAAGGACGAAAGAAAGAAATAGAGAATAAAGGAATATTAAAAGCAAGAGAAAGAAAGAAAGAAACAAACAATAATTAAAAAATAAATAAGAAATAAGAAAGATAATAAAGATATTTACAGATTAATTTTATTCGACTGAAATGATTTCGTGGACTGCCAAGCATTTCGAAAATATAAACACGAGAAAGAAAGAAAGAAAAGAAAGAATGTTAACAGCATGTGAAAGAAAGAAAGGGACTGATAAGATATATGTTCTAAAAGATATTTTCTCTAAGAAAGAATGAATATTAAAAAAGAGAGAAAAAAATATAAAATCAGAAGAAAGGAAAGAAGAAAAACAAACGAAAGAAAGAATGAACATTAAAATGAAAAGAAAAAAAAAAATATTAAGGGCAGAAGAAAGAAAGATAGAAAGAAAGGAAAAAATACAAGGAAGAAAATGAAGAATATTTAAACTAAACAAAGAAAGAAAGAATATATATAGAACAAAGTAAGAAAGAACGAAATTTACTTAGAAGAAGTAAAGAAAAATTACAAAAAGAAAAAATGTGTGAATGAAGAATAAGAAAGATTTCGAAAGAAAGAACATCGAAATTCAAAAGAAAGAAAAAATAAAGCGAAAACAATAATGTTAGAGATTAATTTTATTCGACTGAAATAATTTCGTGAACTGCCTTCGTCTTTCGAAAATATAATTTTCTATTTCCTGTTTTCTTCCTGTTGCTTTTTCTTGTTACATGTTTTTTTTTTTTAATACCGTATCCCTGAATTTTGGGGATAAGGGGTTTTCATTATTTCAATTACATGCTAATATCCTCGTCTTTCTGATTATTATAACATAGCTTCAAAAACTTCATCTTGCCCTGTCGGCTGGGGCTTCAGTATACGCCGATTGCGACGCTGCAGAGGGGTAAAGCCCCGCTAAATGTGATGTCCTGGGTAATACGATAAACTACATCCGCGTCCCGGGTAAGACGATAAACTTCATCCATCAGCAAGGCCTCTGATCAGGAGGTTTTCAAGAGCCTGGAACAACCTCTTAACTGCTGATGTTCCCAGGTCCACCCTGACACGGGGTGGTAGGACCTGTTAGGTTCCCAGCTATGGGCAAATAGTTAACCCCCAATGGGGTCAAAACACTATGAAAGTGTAAAAATAGATTTTAATACCAACAATAAAATTTTTGAGGAAAAATTATTAACAGCAATACATTTTTTAAAGAAAAAAATAATAGCAGCAATACATTTTTGAAGGGAAAAATATGACCAGCAATACATTTTTGTAAATAATTATTACCAGCAATACTTTTTTTAAGAAAAAAATATTACCAGCAATTAATTTTGGAAGAAAAAAAATTACCAGCAATACATTTTTCAAGGAAAGAATATTACCTGAAATGCATTTTTGAAGAAAAAATGTATTACCTGCAATACATTTTTTACAACAAAAAATATTACCATCAATAAAAATCTTGTCGGCATTAGAAAAAAAAAAAAAAAAAAAAAAACCAAACCCGACAATCATCAGGTGTTTATAAAGTTATATTTTTAGTTGATATCGAACTGAACCCTCTGTTTAATCTATTGGGTAGATATTTCTCGTTCCACCATTCATGTCTCGGGATATATCGTCGTCTTCTCGTGTAGTACTGCTCGGCTTGTTTCCACTGACTGTAAATCTGCACTACCCGACTACCAAAACTTTAATGCACAAGCCCAGTGCCGTTACCTAACTAACCCAAACGCCTCGACTGGTGGTGGGTGCTTGATTCTGCGTTCTGTGACTCTCGCTACGTGGGTGCTTCAGTCTGCGTTCTGTGACCCTCGCTACGTTATCGGCATTTGTTATTTTATGCCTACATTTATACACGTTACAAATTAAACAGAGCACAACTGACTATTAAAGGATGAAACAATTTTCACGGATTTTGACGTCATTCAAGGGGTATTTTTTCCGTTCAAAACAAATTTAATTAAGATTATTCATTTCGTAAAAAATACAAAATTGTGGCACAAGACCAAGGGGGAGATGAAGAGAGGCTTGTCTTCGTTAGCTATCCTAGTCCTTGTTAATCAGAATCACGACCCATTCATTTGTTACAATTTGTCCCTTCAGCACAAGAACTCATCCATCACCACTCAATCCTGCATACACCATAATACCGCATATTCGCAGGGGACCTACAAAACATCCCATGAAGTAAAAATTTCATTTCATTGTTGATAAAGTCCGTTTATATGAAAGTTTCATGATTTATTAAATAATGGGTTGGGAGTATGAAACCAGAAAAAAAAATGAAAGGTAAAAACAAGGATAAAACTAAAATAAAACAATGTTAGTAGGACCCGTCCAACCTCAAAATAATAAGAGTGGCCGCTGTGTTCTATCCATAGATAGAATCAAGAAGCACACTCACTAATGGAATGGATATTTTTAAATAAGATGGAATGATAGATTATGACATGACTCTAATTTGTATTTAGATAAATAGCACTTATTTAATTGTTCACCTATATATCATATGATCCATTGTTGTACAGGTTACAGTAAAATTTGTATTTTATATGAATACAACCTTATGAAAATTGAAATGTTGTAGATAACGTATGGTATTTTATATGAATACAACCTCATGAAAATTGAAATGTTGTAGATACGGTGGTAGATCACATGACACTTACACCAGCCCTACAACGGGCCATCTTGAGTAGAGAACATGGATTGCCTTAAAACTAATCAGCCGGAAGCGGAAACTGCTGCTGCTGATGATGATCCTGTATTATCACACTTGACTTCTTTTTTCCTGTTATGTGCCATGTCCCTTCAGGACAGAGGCGATCATGGCCCTCCACTTCCTCCTATCCCTTGTATCTCTCAATAAGTTTTGTCCTTTTGCTACTGCCCCCCCAGGACATGTTCTGTCATCCACTTGCTTAAGCCCGCTTGGTAAGTCACGTACTGATTTCCTTTGTCTCTCTTTCCCTCTATTCGACCTGTGAGTATTAGATTCTCCAAGCACTCCTTTCTCGTTATGTGTCCTAGGAAATTCAGCTGCCTTTTCCTGGTGTTAAGTTTAAACTTCCTACTGCATCCTCTTCAAAACCTCATAAGTTCAATTTATCTAAATACAAATTAGAGTCATGTCATAATCTATCATTCCATCTTAAATAAAACAAACTGAGATTTTTCTTGTTAAAAGTTCAATAATTTTTACACATTCAACATTATGGATTTAAAAACAGTGAATTTTATGTAATGTTTTTTCCGAGATTTAACTGAATTTCAGAGTCTGTCTATATTTCTGAGATGAGGTATTATGCACATTATTCGGACTATTGTCCTCATCTTTGTCGCCATTTCGGCCGTTGTACACTCCGGCCTTCTTCAGGTGGTTGGAATGTCAAACTGAACCCTTTATTTCGCTCACCGGGGTAGACTGTTCTAGTTCCACGTGCCATGTCAGTTATCAGTTATCTGTTAATTTCCCCCCTGAAAGTTCTCCACTGCCTTAACCGGGTATTGAACTCACACTCTTTGGGTCCTGTCACTGGATCAAACCAACGCCTTTATCCACTGTGCCATGTGTCCTTGAGGAATTTGTTTTGGTCATGCAAAACAAATTCACGGATTAGAATGAAAAAAATACCCCGAGAATGACGTCAAAATCCGCGAAAATTGTTTGATCCTTTAACAATCAGTTGTGCTTAGTTTAACGCTTATACACTCGGTCCATAATATCCTTATCATCCTTCTGTAGAACCATACCTCCGTTGGTACGAGTCTCTTCTGTAATCATTAATGTTCTTTTATTCCTGCTGTTGAAGCCGTAATGGCTTCCATATCGTATTTATATTTGTCCATATTTATGTCTGCAGGTAGTACCCTGGGAAAATTTCACGGCTTCGCTATTTTAATTTTATGATGAATCATAATTCATAAATTAATTATCAAAGAGATTCTTGAGAGTTCTATGACAATAAAATACTCGTGAAAATATCCCGTACCGCATCGTTATGCATTTGAACCGAAAACAAAAATTAACAAAATATTACAATAACAATCATAAATATGAATGAAGTTCACAACATTATAACAACAATAATGTCATGCACTATTTAGTTATCAAATGATTTATTTACAAGATTAATTTTATATTTACAAGATATATGAATATATGTAAACCAATTACAATGAAATATTTAGAAAAAAATCAAAAGACACTATTTACATTATTCGGATTATTGTCCTCATCTTTGTCGCCATATTTATTACAACGTTTCAAGTCGCACGATCGTGGTGGCGAATTGATTTCGCTGTTTCGAGAGATGATACGACCTGGGAACTTCTCATTCAATTCTGTTTGATCGTCCATTTTCGTAATAGTTTTCGATAACTTTAGCCCAGTGTTTGATTGTAAATTTTTCCATACCTAAATTGCCAATGACTTAAGTTGTTAAATTTGAAAGAAAAAGAAAAAATCTTTAGCCGCTTAAACTTCAGTATCTATCTATATATCTGAGATGAGGTATTATGTTCGCTATTTCCATTATTCGGACTATTGTCCTCATCTTTGTCGCCATATTTATTAAATTTCAGCCGTTGTACGCTCCGCTTACACATTCAACATTATGGATTTAAAAACAGTGAATTTTATGTAATGTTTTTTCCGAGATTTAACTGAATTTCAGAGTCTGTCTATATTTCTGAGATGAGGTATTATGCACATTATTCGGACCATTGTCCTCATCTTTGTCGCCATTTCG